AAGTTGTGCTATCTTCTCATTCCTATCGTTTAAACATCGGCCTCTTCTATCCCAGTCTCTTTCAAGTTTCAACCAATCTAACCCCCCTCCCTCCCTCCTTCATCCAGCCCCCCTAAAATTAAAATTAAAATTAATCTCAAAACTAATATCATTAAGACATGCAACAAATATTCTCTGATATTACTAAAGATATGCAACAAATCCATCTAGTCTTTGTGATATCATGTGATTGTGTTATTTCTTCGTTTTTCATCCTCATATTTCTTGATGCGATTGACATTATTGATGTTGACACACTATCTATGTTTCGTCTACTCGAGTATGAGATCGGATGAACAATGAAATCATATTGATTAACAAATTTCTCGGAAATGCAGAAAAACAAGAATCAGTAGATGATGAAGAAGCACGTGTACTCAAAGCACTGGAAGGCTTGTTGCAAGTCTCAAGAAGGGTGTCTGCATAATCGGGCAGGAAAACTTGCATAATCTCCGATCAAATGTTGACCCCCATACATACTGACTTGTACCACGAGAAAGTTGCGGAAAATCTGGGGTTTTTTTTCTCGTCCGATGCTGATGCTTTTCGTGATGGGTTACACTAGAAACAGTGTTTGTAATTGTATGAGTACCTCCGTAAGTAAGTGATCTCCAGCTAGGTGATGTCTTGACCATGATGATGAAAGGCAAGCTTGCTTAGCTGAACTCGCCTAAAGGGGTGCAAAGGTACTGTTGTACAAGTATGGAGTACAGAGAGAAGTGGCAGATGTTAAGGATAACCATCGACAGAGAAAATTGTATCCAAAATATCTCTAACCAGTGGTTATCAAATTCACGGGCAGATACGGATGCTCCCATCTATATCCTGAATATCGAAGCAATTGCTCATGTAGTTTAAGCGGTTCATGTCGAAATATGTTGACATCACAACTCAATCATCAAAGGATAAGCTATAAGTATACTTTCCTTTGGAATATCTGAGATGATATTGTTAAGTAGATGCGGTTATTTTGTTACATAATAACAGACAGGTATCATAATTGGTTGGGTTGGAAGTGTATCAAGCGCTTCAACCTTCTTTCTGCTGCTAATTCTTGACATTGATTATGAAGCTGTCTGAATCTGCAGGCAAAAAGTCTTTTATGCACAACTCGGGGTGGAAAACACACCGATATGATTGTGAATATTTTTAAACGCATAAAAGACATCCAAGAAATCCAAGAATCATCGTAATGGCTCAATACATGCCGCCTATCAAAATCGTTGGTACCAGAGGCTTGTGGGTATTTTAACCAAAATGCCACCCTCGCTTGTTCTAACAAACAGTCTTGCCTCCGTCTTTACTATGGATGCTATTGAAAGGACCAGCCTCCATACATCTGATGTAACAATAGATGAAGCATCAGAAGATCATTCCCGGCGACGATCCATTTATAACCATTGGAGAGTTGAGAGAAGCCTCTCTTTTCGCATTCGCCGCGACTGCAGCTACCGCGCTTGCTTCGACTCTTTCACTTCCAATATCTTCCACTATTCTATCCCTGCCTTCTGCTCTTTCTTTTGGCTTTCTCATCTTCTCTCCCTTGGGTGGCAAATGAGTCTTTGGTTTGGGATATCTCTGTGGCTTTGGTGGTGACTTCCTCGCTGTGAGTCCAACGTTGGATTGACTCTGCATTGAAGACATTTCTCTTGGATCCACCCCTTCTTTGGCTAGCTTCGCCCTCAGGTCTCTGCCCCTGAAGTTGACCCCATCAAGCATATCAACTATCGCTTTGGCCATAGTGTATGTCTCAAAGATGAGAAACGCATGGGATTTTTGTTTACCACAAGGATGCTTCTCAATTCTCATGCTCTGTAGAGCAAGGAGAGGGTTTTCATCAGATGAATTATCCAGAGATCTCGCTTTCATGTAGTCCTGAATGAAGCTTTGTAGGTCTGTAGTGGCTGTGTTGTTGGGAATTCGTGTAATAATGACTTTACTTTTCAAGACGGCGAATTGCTCGGCGAATGGGGGGTTGTATGCTGAACTGGACATGGGCTGCGAGAGTGCACCGAAGAAAGGAGAGGTTGTGACGTATGTTTGAGGAGGTGAGGCAAAGACAGATACGCCTGGCGCCATAACGGCAGAAAACTCAGATGGTATCGACGTATTATAGGGTATCTCAATGCTCTGAGTCTGTTGAAACTTGGCTTGTTAGCTTTTCATAATATCAAGCGGCAATGGAGAAAACCTCTTGTACCTTGGTAACGCCTCTATCGTTGTTGAAAGTCGCCGATATCGAGGTAGTAATAGATGCTTCACGGGTCGTAGGTTGAATGTCTCTTGTGAACACACCTTCGCTGTAATATCGCGACGTCCACGGCATCGCGAGATCCCGCACTTGAATGGATTCTGTCTCATTGCGGCCATCTGCACATAAAGCGCGATTTTCCATCATTCCACCCTGCAGATGTTCTGTAACTCTGTTAGCATGATCCCTTCTTCGTAATAGGAGAACCCACGGAGTGCTTGGAGAAAATCTTCCTTTCCTCTGACTGTCACCCATCCACAAGTCGACTCTGGATACACTTGCGCATGTTCAACGGCAAGGCAATTTCCCTTACAGTCTTGGTTTCGTGCAAAGTCTTTGAGACGTTGCCATGTACATGACCATGGAAGGTTGCTAACAAGAATATAATACAATCCAGTGACATCACCAGGCAAAACTTGAGGCATGAGGTTTGAATTCGATAAAATAGATGGTGTTTACACAGGATGAATGGACGTCGATAGAGATTTATCTTGGAGGAGAGAACCGTAGGCTGCAGTCCTTTTATGAAGCCTCGACTCCAAGGATGCACGTTTGATGGGCCTTACAATCAAAGCCTCAATTTTTCATAACCAAGCACGAGATTTCAGGCATTCAATGCAGAAGGTCAAATCCGAACGAACATGAGATCAGACCAAAGATTGAGGTGCCCAAGAAGGCAATTTGGGATACAGACGATCGAAAGTCAATCAGATGGTGGAAACCATACCATAGCATTTTGGTTACAAAAAGCAAACGGTATCCTGCAGGGCTGAGATAGATTACTCTTCATGTGCAAATGCTTACCACCATTTAACTGCTCAAAGCAGTGCCTTTTATCAGAGCAATAGTCCAGAAAAGAGGGAAAATAAAACATCTTGAAAGCCGTAGAAATGGTTTGTGCAACATAGGGCTCATTGACATTGGCATCGGCATTGGCTGTGAACAAAAGAAAAGCTGTGACTTCACGATTTGAGTCAGATACTCCACAATCTGCCTGCTATTTAATGCGACTAGCCTATGTCGAATGTATATTCCATCATTTTGAAGGAAAACCTTGTCTAAGTATTTGACTGTAATCAGGATCTTGAATAGGAACTTCCATATCAATGTTAGTCCCCTTCACCGGGTTATGCTCCCCGATGTATCTTGCAAAAAATGAATCTTGTTTGTTAATCAGTAGTGGCTTGAATTATCGATATGAAGAGGAAACAAATATGAAAAATATGACCTGTCAGATTTTGCTATTGTACAGAAGTTGATGCTAAACATCGAAGTCCCCTAGAGACCGATTCGAGATATCCATTCGAGATGTTTAAATTCGGCAATGGAAAAGTTGGTAGGGGAATGTGATGATTATCCGAAATATCTCTCCTTTTTGAGAAGCCTTCCCTGGCGAGTATTGGAACGTTAACCTCATTTCCAGATGCCAATTCTTCTAGAATTCGCATTTTATTCAGTATAGTGGTGTGTAGCTGAGAACCCTTTGCGTAACTGAAGATGTATGGACTGCATGTACGGTTGACTTCAATGCTGCAAGCCAATAGTGGTGAATGCGCGATTGGTGGCTGCTTAGGTTTTAAAATAACTCTATAGGCTACACAGCATGGAGGGAGTGAATGAAAACCACAAACCCGGGTTAGGTTTCAGGGTTCTTGTGCAGCATGAGACCATAACGAGAACCAGGTATGCAGGGCAACACAGAGACTCACAAAAGCTGCAGATGCAAATGCAAATGCACGGGGGCCCATTCATAGCAGCAGGATGAGAATATACCGATTCACTCATTTCAAATGTTTGTGTTGCCCGTTCTATTGAATCCTTTCTCAACACTTTTAGTCATTGAGTGAGTCTCAAAAAGCGGCTGCTGCTTCCCTTTGCATCTTTCCAAGCTTCTCCTCCTCGAGTCCTGCAAAGAAAAGCCGAAAGATTGCCAACATCTATCATGCACGAAGAATATACGACGAATGAGAGGTTTTTATACACGTATGCGATATGCAATACAGTATACAGACCTATTAGCGATTCATAATATGATACACTTGCAGCGGTTACCACTCAACACCCTCAACACCCTCCGGCTCGTTTGCCTTTTCAAGATGTCAAAGTTGCGATCTATTTGCCTCAGATTTCGATAAGACAAGATATGCTTTCATCTTAAAATAGATAGACTTACCATGTAGCCAGCCAAGCTATTATTCATCGATGCAACAATTTCAGTCACGCATAAAATGTCGAGTCTGTTGTTACGGTTGACATATTTGCTTTATTGGCCTATGGTAAATCTGTGTTGGATCGTTGCATATTGGTATCAGTCAATCGGATTGTGGAGTTCCTTGTCCGAAAAGATCAAGATCTTACGAATCATCAATTCAGAGTCATATCAACAATGAATGCATCCGTGTCAATGATAGAAAAGTTACAATTACAGAAGAAGGAAATCATTTAAATGTTCCATAGAACTTAAATTATCGAGACTCAGGGACAGTGATACTAACTAATCGATTGTGACAGTCAATTTGAGTGCTCTAAGTATGTGAAGGTCTCATGATAGCATTCTAGTCAATCTGGTGTCAGTATTCAGATCAGTGACAAATTACGCGGGATACCATAAAGGGGTCAATATTGGAGAAACATTGTTTGTACAACAAAAGTAAAGCCTATTGAATTGACAAATCGAAGTCTAATCCACATGAGTTTTCCAGCAGGAATGTTGAACAATAGGAATAATGGGACGAAGGTGTGTAATACACAAAATACAAGGACAAGGGTGCAATGAAGAAACAGACACCAATCAAAAACAATCCACTCCTGCGTCCGCGCCACAAATTGCACTTCCCTGGTTGTCGAAAAATATGGAATCGTTATGGTGGAACTAGAACTGCCAGTGGTCGAGTGCGAAGGCGAGCTAGGGCTGCCAGTGGTGGAAGAAGAGCTGCTTGAGATAGCAGTTCCCTTTACACTGCCGGCTGAAGATACTAGCGTACCGGTCGAAAATGCATGGCCGCCAATGCTTCCAGCTGGTCTGAGGGAACCTGACGAGTGTGGGAAGCCGGAGCTGAGGATGCTGCCTGATGGATTGGGACTATCAATGTGATGTACTCCCGTTCCACTGCCGAGAATAGCGCTCGATCCACCAGTAGGAGAGGGTGCCTTTGATGAGCCGGTGGCGCTGATTCCTAGGTTAGAATGAGTGGATGTGGGTCGGCCGCTGCCAGATGGATGTCCCGTTCCTCGAATTCTGCCGGTTAAATATGCTGTTCCGGTTGGTGCATGGCTGATGATGGTAGTCTTCTTACTCTTGGCAGCAGATATGAATTCGTCATATTGTGTTTTCGACTTAGGGTTCATTCTTTTGACGACTAGGATAACGTTAGTGGAGGAGATTAAATCTGCAAAGAGCCGACGCATACCTGAAGAAATATAGTGAGTTGGTGGCGTTCGTGATGGGGAAGTCAACAAAGGTAGTTACGTTCTTCGCTAAGACGGGCTTGAATCCAGGATCGTAGACACCGTTCATAACGCAAGGAGCCGCGACATCACAAGAAGTGACAGTGTGATTTGTGGGGTAGAACTTGAATCGTACAGTTTCCCCTTCCTCTGCGTCGATGTATTGAGGTGAGTATAATAATGTGCTATTTTGGCCACCTGAGATGATGTGCGTTGGATTTGACGACTTCTCGGTTCCAGTGGGTTTATATGAGCCGCTAGTTCCGGTCCCAAGAGAGCCAGTCGGATAGATAGGTTGACTCCCGTTCCTATAAGAATATGGTGCTCCAGATCCAGTAGGCTTGCGGGTTAATGATGTCTTAGTTCCGAGAAGATTTGCCGAGCTGTTAGGTGGGAGGATTGGAGTCGAAGTGGCGCTCGCTATCTTGGTTATTGTAACAGTGCTAGCCTCGCCATAAACGTCGACTGTGACATCAACAGTGATGATATTGACTACAATCACTTCTTCACCTGAGCCATAAACAACTTCCGTACAATCATAAGTTGAAGAACCGGTAGGGCAGACCTGCACTGTAGATATCCCTGATACCACGTTCACCTGTGTAACGGCCACAGAAGCACCAGCCGAGGGAAGATATGTGACCTGTGCTCCTAGAAGCGATTCTGTTCCGGTGAGAACAGGGACAGAAGTTTTGAATAGCTTCAACGATGATGAGGTAGATTCGGAGCCTCCTCCAATGACCGTTCCAACAATGTTGAGCGTGATTGTTTGAGCAGGTGCTGTGACAGTGATTGGTGTGACGAATCCACCCTCAAGTGTGACAGTTTGATATATCGTCGTGCCAAAACCCCCTCCATAATCTCCTGCTTCTCCAAGGGTGACAGTAGAAGTCAAGATCGAAGGCTCACTAACAGTTGTAGTGGTAGGTTGGTAGATTGTAGTCGTGACATGTTTTATTTCTAAAAAAAATTGGCGAAGGTGAGCAATCATCAGGAGATGTAGTCCCAATCCTGGAGAGGAGCGACATGGCAGCTGCGCGTGAAAACTTCATGATGAGTATATAAATAAGAAAACGTTACGAGTATTAGAAATGATTTCTGTAAGAAAGATTGAATTGGTAAGGACCGTAAATGGAAAACTTTCCACGAGATCAGAATTATTGAAAGAAAGAAAGACTTGACTGAAGTTGAGGTCTCAGCAATGGACGATACCTGTATGTATAGCCTATTATACTAGCAGATCTCCATGGCATCATGACTAAAGAGACAGTACCACAGTATAGGATTTGGGCTTTGAAGATTCCAAGTTGCGTAAAAAAACAAATGCTGTAATTCTGGGGGGATTACACTTTGTGGGATTTGACGGTAGCTATAGATTACTTCAACACAGGATCACCGAGAGCCTTAACTGCGACTTCAAACGACAAAATCATGTCATTGGTAGAATGACCAGAGAGCTAGGTTAGTTTCGTATATTAGAGTTGCAGTGCCAATGATGTGGAAATCTACACTTTAGTTTTTTGTTCGGAAGAGGAGTGAGGATTTTAAGTGAAAACCAAATTGTGTAGCATCGAAGGATTGGGGGACAGTGAGCATTTCTCAAAAATAGTACACATCAGCCGCTTAGATACAATTATATCGTAAATAGAATAATTTTTTTAATAATCGTTGTTTTATGCGACTTGTTATGGTTCAACAAAACGTTTAATCGTCCTCTGGACCTCTGGAATCCAAAAACACGTGGATCGTGACTTTCTTACATTTTCAGGGTTCTGTGAGAAATATCTGGCGGACTAAAAACAACTATACGCCCACCACCCTCCCATTCGAGAGCAAAACATGTCGATGATGAAAGCTCAATTATTCGCTGCGCGAAGGTTTGACTGTGGCTTATCTGAGAAGTAGGCCAAACGTTCTCATCCCAAACTCAAACCTCACTCTACCTCTCACTATCGGGAATCCCATTTGCCCATGTGCCACTCTTCCCCCCCTCTTTCCTCACGACTCTCAACCCCTCAACCCGCATACCTTTATCTACGGCCTTACACATATCGTAGATCGTCAACGCCGCCGTTGAAGCAGCTGTAAGAGCCTCCATTTCTACGCCCGTCTTTCCATCGCATGAAACAGTAGCCTTGACTTCCACGCTTCCAAAATCACTGGAAGGATCCGATTCTGAAACAGATGATGGCCATTTATATCCATCACCTTGCCCTGTGCCAGACCATGAAATTGACGTCCTTGAAGCGGGAAACGAAGATTTAGTGCTCGATCCAGCTTCATGTGAGATTTGTAGGTCAATGTTGACATGTGTAATGGCGATTGGATGGCATAGAGGTATTAAATCAGAAGTTCTCTTAGCAGCCATGATTCCTGCGATTCGGGCGACTCCTAGCACATCACCCTTTTTGGCTCGATTGTCACAGATGAGAGGAATTGCTACATTGTTGGAGAAGTGAATACTGCAGACAGCAACTGCAGTTCGCTCGGTAGATTGCTTGGAGGAGATGGAAACCATGTGCGCATCACCGGATTGCGTAAGGTGGGTAAGCTTGTGGTCCTGTGAGGAACTCGAACCAGATGAATTGTCCATCGATGGCTTTTGTACGTCCTTACTGTCACTCTTCGTCTGAGCCGCAGCAGATTTGCTGGAATACAGCCGAGTATAATGGGATGGAGTCATATTTGTCAAGAGGTTGAGAGGAATTGCGTGGGATCGACCATGCCGCCGGCTTTCAATGTCATGAGAGAGTGCCTTCGGACCACGAGATAATTTATCATCTGAATAAGATGTCAGTATCAGCAATATTAGACTGCGGATCCGCAGGACCTTACTTGCAACTGTATCGATTTTGAAATCTTAATTAAATACGTATAGGGTATCAGCAGTACGCTAATATGCAAACAATTTCATGCTATCGCATTCCCACGCATATTTTCGTGGAATATGAAACCTACCCACCTATCAAAATCATGGGTCTATTCTTCAAGTTTTCCAATTCGCCCATACCGGCGTGCTTTTCTTTCTTCCGACTCACGGCCATGCCAATGACTTCCAGTAGCTCCCTTTCGTTAGCAGAGCTTCCTAGATCGCCGTGGGCGTTTCTAAGACTCTGTCTCCTACTCATTTCTATCTGCTTCATCGCCTCAAAAGCTTGCTCGTCAATTGGTAGGTTGCCGTTGGATTTCCTCAAGATGTCCCTCAAAGATACTTCAGCATTGCCAAATAAGCACACCTTCAAATTTCCATCACTCGTGATGCGCAATCTATTGCAAGTGCCACAAAAATTATGTGTCATGCTTGTAATGAATCCCATTTTCCCCACGAATCCAGGAATCTCGTACGTCTTACTCGTGTCATTTTTGTGATCTGTGACTTTTTGAACTGTAGGGTATTTTTGCCGTATGATATCAAGCATTTCTTTGTAACTTAGCATTTTCCCCTGGCTCCACTTGTTGCCGTCGAATGGCATATATTCGATAAACCGAACCTCAACATTTTTATCTCGACCCAATTCGACAAAGGGTATTATTTCTCTTTCGTTGACTCCACGCATAACTACACAATTGATCTTGAGCTTTATGCCAGCACCCAATTCGTTCATGTGCAGTATCCTGTCCATACTTCTCATCACAGCCTCGAAACCTTTCCTTCGAGTCATGATCTGAAACTGCCATGGATCCAAAGTATCCAGACTTAGATTGACTCCAGTCAACCCAGCTTCCACCATGCCATCCAACTTCCTTGACAGGTTTAGTCCATTTGTGGTGAGACAGAGCTCGCGCAGACCCCGAGATCGCAAAGCTCCAATCTGTTGCATAAGAGGTAGGATATCGCGACGAACAGTCGGCTCACCACCAGTAAGGCGGATCTTGGAAACACCTTGGGATACAAATAAAGATGATAAAAGGACGATTTCTGGTGTTGTAAGAAGATCTTGTTGTGGCGATTGTGGGACTCCCTCTTCTGGCATACAATACACGCATCGCAGATTACATTTTTCTGTAATTGAAATTCGAAGATAATCATGCTGTCTTTGAAAATTGTCGGTAAGAAAGGAGGAGAAGGGTTTGGAATCTTTGAGTTCGGCCCTTCGATTTAAAGCTCTGCCACTTGTGGGCGATTCAGCGTCTTCGGCCAAAGGTAGATCGTGTCTAGGGAGCTCTCGAACTGACAGAGCAGCAGTGGATAGTGCTCTATGCGTTTGGCGGGAAAGCAAGTTGAGCTGGTCACCTTTCAGAGCACCGTCTCGAAAAGCTCTTCTCAGGGACAGCATCTTTGAAGAAAAGAAGTGATGTGCCTCTTATCAGTTTCTTTGAGCCTTCAATATCCAACAGCGCAAAATAATTGGGTGCCCTTCAATCATTTCGACCATAAGAATAATCGTCGTCCCTGGGTATTGGATGTATGAGGCTTCTTATCGTCACAATGACATATTACAATAACATATTATCTCAATTCTCAAAGAGTTGTCAAAGATTTTGGTTTGTAAGAGGAGGGGCAGCGGCCTATTCCGTCCATTCCGTCAGAGATTCTCCAATTGGCTCAGATTGGCTCAGATCCCGGATGGTGGCATCGCTGACTCATCAATTCTTATCGTTATCTATACGGGGTGGGATTTCTGAAGATTCCGTGATTTATTAGAAACCAAACAAAGTTGACTGTCGGAACTCTTGAAAGTTAATCAATCCTCCATTATGCGATTTTCACGTCCTTTCAAGTGTAAGTGCTGAGTACTGAGTACTTCGTCTTACAAGTTATGAAGTTGATGTATATGTCTTAGCATCAAACCAATCTCTTCCAAGTCCCAATGGCGAATATATTGCAACCATTCTGACATCGAAACTCAATATCAGAGAGACGCGCTCTCTCGAAATAATACGCGCTATACCACTTCCATCTGAACTCACATCATCATTGACATCGTTTCTATGGTCATCATCTTCCAATCGGTTACTTGTAGCGTCTGCAGATGTCATACGCGTCTTCTCCCCAAGCGACAATAACTTCTCAGCAACAATTACATGCCCGACCTCAGGAACTACAAAATCCACCTTCATTTTATTTGGAGGAACCGATGACGAAGTCTGCATCTTTTCAGACTTTGGTCTAAAATTGACCATCTTTAATCTTGGTACTTCGAGATCAGTAGATATTAGCTCGCCTAAGCTATTCGCTCCCGGTACTGCTGCAAAAGGTATTTCGCATCGTCCGCGGTCTGGAAATCTGGCTCTATTGACCAGAAGTGGCGGTAAAGATGTGATTAGTATACACAAGCCGGGAAGCTTGGAGGTTATAAGATCATGGCTACCAGAAACCATTGACGCTCAAGGAATAACTTGGAGCCCAGATGGAAGATGGATAACGATATGGGAATCCGCCAGCCAAGGACACAAACTACTGGTGTACACAGCTGACGGCCACTTGTATAAAGTTTGGAGTGGTCCGACACCGATACTCGATGAGGAAAAGGATATCGCTCTAGGTGCCGGAATAAAAGTGATCGAATGGAGCCAGACAGCAACACATATTGCTATTGCCGATTATAGTCGAAAATTGGTGTTGTTGGCCGCTCCGGCATTCTCTGAATCTATGATTTTGTCCCACATACCCTCCGTAAACCCTACGGATACCCTACACGTACGTCATCCAATGTCCTGCCTCGATACAGCTATCTCTAATTCCTCAGATTTGGAATGAACAAATATTACCATCTCCCAATGGAGGCTTCACTCGAGAATTTGTTCGAGCGAAACAATCGACATCACCCCCAACAGCAACTGCCATTCCAACCGCTGAGCCAAAAACCGGCACTAATATGATAACTTTCGACATTTCTGGCACACTACTAGCAACTAAAGTTGAGGAAATGCCATCAGCAGTTTGGGTGTGGGATGTTGAATCTCGGTCCCTTAGAGCATTGCTGATACTGCATGCCCCAGTGGCTCGAGTCACCTTTCATCCAAGTATTAATGAGCTTCTCATGATTAGATGTGAAGGAGAAGAAAACAAAGGTCGCGTGCAGCTATGGGACCCATCGTGGGAGGCTCCAAGGATTATTAATTTTGGAATGCGACTTCCAGAGGGTAAGATCATTGGAAAGTCGATCATCAGGTGGCTCAACGTAGCGTCTATCTTTCCATCTATTTTCTTCAGCGACTCGCAAGACTGCATTTTCTTGTCATTATCAAAGCCAGAGGATACGGAATTAGTCCCTTGGCATGATTCAGAGGCCAATGGAGTTGATATTTACGGCCACACAGAAGAGTCACCTTTGAACCTCGTCGGAGTTGAGGGCATGAGACCCTTTAGACACGTGAATGTTGATGTTGTCGCTGACAATGATAACTCATACACAAACATGAGTGAAGGCAGCGAGGAGCTTGACGATACCTTCCATTTTCGCAAGCCCGAACATCTGTGAGTTGCGGAGAGCTGTTTGATTTGTATGTCATGCCATCTTGCAAAGCATTATACCTTGTTTATGTTAAGTTGCCACATTCCACATACTATGTGATGAGAGCTGCAATAATCGAGTGTTTTGATGCGTCTTGTATGATTTCTATCCATCAGGATTTTCAAGGACTTGTGAGTCGACCACCTTCGTATGATAGATTGTATCGCTTTTCCAACCTGTTGATGCAACCCGTTTATCTTTGGCTTCGTGCTCTTGTCTCAAACAACTTCTTGATGTGCTACTCTACCATTAATTTTGTTTTAAAATACTTCGATCCAAAAGATTTGAAAAATTGATTGTGCTCTCTGCTCTCTGCTCTTTAATCTCTGCTCTCTAATCTCTGCTCTCTAAGTATCACCGTATCACCCACAAGTCTACTCCACATGCGGCGAAGCAGATGACGAGTCTAGAATACGAATCAAAATACCCCAACGCGTTGGCGTGTATCTATGAGGAAAACTATTGGTTGTAACTTGACGGCACGACCTACACTTAATTCTGCTCATTATTTCTGGGGGTCAATATTTGGAATTTTTCCATTTCATGGATGTTCCAACTTCCTTCCACAAGTGATTCTGGAAAGTGAAAGTGGCTCACCGTGGTAGAGTGGGGATTATGTAAACAAGCGAATCTTTATTATAGGTGGCTCAGGATGGTTCTTTGTGCATAATCTTCAAAGACTCACTCCATAATAAATATATGGAAACGACAGAATTGATCTTCATTTGCTCATTATGTTGATTTAATCTGCTGTCGATGGGATACATAACTGTATATATGATACATTCCATTAAACAGTACATCGTATATCTACATCATACATCATACATCAAATAACATCAATTCATCAATTCGTCTCTTCTCGTCCTTCATTTTTATACTTCATAACAAATCACCGTAACATATACCGTTACCGTTACCGTTACCGTATGCTTTCAAGCTTTCGAGCTTTCGAGCTTTCGAGGGTTAGACCCGAAGTGCTAGTAGCCAAGTAAGTAAATGAATAACTTGATTGAGCCCGTACCCCCCAAATGCCCCTCATTCAAACTGCTGCTCCACGAAGTTCAAGTAGAAACCCTGCTTGAACCCCTGAAGGACCCTTCAGACTGGCTTTGGGTACTTTTGATGGCCCACTGGATCATTTCGATGTCTCTTTTTGAACATTGATGGGTTGTTAGTAAAGAATTGAATTTGCAGCAGACACTTGGACCAATGTCATGGGCATTGGACAGCTGTTAGCAAGCATCATGCAATTAGCAAGTATCTCTCTCATTCATACCTCCTCTTTCTTCTACTTTTATCATTCTGCGCAAACTTGTTTCCAAAATCACCTTTGTATCTTTCAAGAACAATGGCTTCAATAATGGAAAACGCTTCGATTGAGTCTGCAGCTGCAGTCATTGTGAATCACCCCTACTATCCTCTTGAGATGGAAATAGCCAGTTATCTTGCGAACGAATGGACTGTACCTACGCTTCTGGGTGTCTTTTTTGGTGCTTGTGCGATATTGTTCTTATGCACTCGCACCTTTGTTGCCAGATCATATCCTCATTTGTCGGGCGCTGAAAAGGCTGCGATATGGTGGTTAGTGTTGTGTATGTTCTCCCTATTCATGCTGCTACACGGCCTCCTAACACTTCAATTATAGCTGGCGCAATCCACCTCTTCTTCGAAGGTATACAATTTCGAATCGACCTATAAAAACAATGGCTGACCGTCTCTTTCCAGGATACTTTTCGCTCCATCACACTCAAATTATCAAAGATCAACAATTGTTGGGACAACTCTGGAAGGAATATGCCCTCAGCGATAGTCGGTATTTGACATCTGATCCGTTTGTCCTTTGCATGGAAACAGTAACAGCAGTATGTCAACCACAAGCCCGTTAAATTTAGTCAACATTCTTATGACATTCCGCACAGTTTTTATGGGGGCCTATGTGCTTCACTGTTGCTGCCTTTATTGCAACTCGACATCCACTTCGACACCCCTTACAAATCATTGTCACTGTAGGAGAAATGTATGGACTTGTTCTATATTATGCCACTCATACTTTTGACTACTATCATAAAGAAGTTGTTTATTCCAGACCAGAATTTCTGTACTTTTGGTTCTACTACTTCTTCATGAATTTTCTCTGGATGATCTTTCCAGGCAGTAAGTCAAGCTTTCATCCTGAAGGAATTCCAGTGCTGATTATTATATCCCAGTGCTCCTCGTTGATTCCGTGCGTACTATCGCGCGAACATTCACAGAGCTCGACAAGGTTAAAAATACTCAGGGAATGAATGGCGTCGCAAAGAAAGGACAATAAATTCTGGAAAAGCATGGCCAGGGTCGGATAGAAGAGGCAAAAGGCAGATAGGATACCCATTTTTGTCACTACAAATGTGCGATGGATCTGCTTTTTGGGGAGTCATAGATCTCATAAGCTGAGGAAATCAGGTCGATGCACGTTGAAAGGAGTGCAACCTCAGGAAAAGGAGTCACAGGCGTCTATCTGCATGTATAGATTTCTTAGAACGATATATAATTACTCGAATAATCCTTCGCAACATGCTGTAATTCTAATATGTTTCTGGAATCCAGATGTTAAGTTTGCGGCGCCATGTCGTTGAACAGGCATCGGGAGATTGATATTCCGATAGCAGGAAGGACATTGATGATTTCCTCGTTGAGGGTTGTAGCTGACAACTCATGAACACTACCTACCTAGTAGGTACATACTCGAGTACATAATATTTCAAGCCTCGGAAGGTATTTGTGATACTCTCGATATGGCTCGACTCCAAGAATGGCATCGTTATCCCATCACGGCACTGATATCTCTCTCAGGCAAACCTTGAAACATGGTCGAACTTCTTCTTTTTGTACAAGTCCAAGTACTATTTATTACATTAGGGTTATTTGATATATTGAGAATACGACACTTCGAACCGAGCAGTGCCTATTTTGATTCATTGGAAACTCCACCTCTACCACCAAAACCTTCATGGCCAAACGATAAAAACATACAAGGAAGTATATTCGGGTATCCAACAGCCAGGCTCAACTCTTCAAATATGCAGCTAATTCCTCGTTTATCACCATTATGCTACCAACACTAGCATGCTTATCAAGCCTCTGACTCAAGATGCTCACCCTCTTCTGGGTCGGTTTCGAGATGAATAGAGGCGGCGAATCTATGTGCTTCTTGCAGTATATCCAGGATGGGGAGAATAATGGATCGGGCAAACTTTCTCCCACCTCCATATCCTCGTTGTATATACTCACAGAGTATGTACTAATCGGTCTGGGCTTTTGCCATCGTTTGGCATCGAATGGTTGCTCCAACGAATCAGCTTCAAAATAGGTAGAAGCTGCGGAATCCCGACGACCACCAGATATGAATGAACCACTTGTGCTTGGCGAACCGGCATCGGAAGACTCGAAATTGGCTCCATCTAGATCGTTAGAGGAATGTGACCATTGGGATGATGCATCGTTTGATGTCGATAATTGTTTGCTGTATGCAGTTTGTTCTTCCCTAGTAGTTTCTGTCGTCGAATTATCGGTGGAGCGGTTTTCCAAGCCATGTCCATACCCTTTAATTAGAATCTCATGATGGGTATTTCGATTCGGGCTAGGATGCTGGAGCTCTGGCATTATCGTTAGGGTACCGCCAGCATCAGCTTTAGCTATTATGTCCTCGATTGATGATGTGGTGGCGACAGCACTTTCATTCCTTCGCGAGACGGCAGGTTGCTCTCGTCGAGCCAGATAATCATCGAAAGCAGCTATGTCATCGATCGGTGTTCGTCCATGGTTGGAAGGGTTCGACCCGATCAACGAATGTCGATAATCTTTATTTGCTTGTGCACTTTGTGTACGAATCAAATTATAACACGAACGTCGGTCGTTCCATGGTGGGCATTTTCCAGTACGAATGCAAATGTTATATGCTACATTTTGGATAGCGCGTACTTGATCAGGTATTTTCGTCGCCTGGATAAGTATTTGAAGTGAAGAATATATCAAAACCCAGCGGATCTTACGCCCTTCCGCTTGGGAGGTCTTCTCCATGGTTGCCGTCTGACAACTGACTGGGGCGGCGCATTCCTTCTCGAATACTCGGTAAGCACGAATAAGTGTACACTCTGTAAGCTTCCGTTTCTGGTGGTTTGTGGCCCTTTCAAGGGCGGTCATTGAAGCTAGACGAGAATCAAGATGCAATTTGTCACCCCTAGGAAACATTTTCGCAGTAAAAGGCATTCGCTTGCTGAACGATGATTTGACAGATAATTTTGCATTACTATCTGGAAGCAAAGGTAGATCGTGAGGTAATGCCTCAATCTTGTATTGGGTGTCGAACGCCGTAACCGTACGCAGTACATCTAGCTCTTCTCCATCGGTGCTTATAGGTCCTGTGGTAGTCTCACTAGGGTCTGCCAGAAAGTCATACAATTTTTGAAATTCTGACTGCATCTGCTTAAAAAGACTCTTGGGGAAAGCCCCGCTTCCTGATCTTGAAGCTGATAATGGACACGAACCAAGCTTTGCAGCATAATAATCTTGCAGGAATGCTCTAAACTTTTCGAGGTGAGATTGAGCCGCCGGACCAAGCTGTAAATATGTGTCGGATAACTCTTCTGTAAGGAAGTCACTAAGCATTTTTCCGCATGTGTCAAGTCGAAGATCCATTTCTAGTCTTGCTCGAGAAATGAAAGCTCGATCTTGTCGACTCAAAGACTACACGGGGGTTAGAGAATATGTTTCCAAACACAAGGTTTAACCTTTCACCCGTACCTCAAAACCTGGGCTATTGTGTAGCTTTTCACACATCCCGGAACAATGTGCAAGTGCATCGATCCACATGTCCTTGAAATGGAAATGTTCCGCGAAATACATGATTCCAAGGGCGTGGTCTGGCGCATTCCTCATATCCGCGTACCCCTCCCCGTCAATGTAGGTTACAATATCGTCCACGTTGTTGGCATCATTCGATCTGAATTGGGACATACTATTGAGAAGTCCCACCAATGCACTACCTAAATCTTGCCCGACCAAAGACTTTTTGCATACCCAAGCAAAGAAGTTTCGAGTCGCGGCGTGGTAGAGAAAAGCTTCTACTCGTTCTGCCATGACAGGAGCTGGAACGTATAGCTCTACGTAGTCGGCATCACTTGCGCCGGAAATATATTCATCAAAAATCTCGCTAATGTCCAATATGGCCGATCCTTAATGTCTTTTGGCATGAATGTGTCCAAGAGTGGTTGGCATTTTGCGTCAAGCAGGGCATTCAAAGGTATCCGGAACGCTGGTCCTCTCATGGATTGTCCTCGGCCATACAAATACACTAAGCAATCTCCTTCGGGATACCATAACTCGGGATCCTAACAAGCATCAGCATGTTGCTGATCAAAGTCTACAATCTCAGACATACCCTTCTCAGGTCATCCCACTCTGTCGACCTCCGCGCCTTTCCTTCTCACTTTCTAACTCCCATAGCATTTGTCATCAACATATTTGTACTTGAATTGTTTCTTCGATGTGTGTTTGTTTCCAGACCTAATGGCCAATTCTCTTCTAGTGAAGGCAAAGTATCATCCGTACATATGAGTACCTCGTTGATAGTTGTCATACTATATATCTTCCGATCGGATATTGAAAAAGGCATATCGATATTGATTACAACTAAGAGATCTTCGGTCAAGATGGCAGAAGCGATCTTCGGTGGCTTGACAGGTCAGGTTGAGTTTCTGCCGGATACCCTTAATATCTCTTAGGATCGGGCGATTTGTGCAAGATTAAAATGTAAGAAAGAAAGAACGAAGATATTCTTTCAGTATCTTTTCCAACAGATTATTGACTGGAAATTTGATCAGAGGGGACGCAAGAGGACTAATATGAATGATCCATCCTGCTGAGCTAGTCTGACGAACTACAAGCGTAGTACAGAAGCATCTTGCCGTGCTACGCGCATCCTTAATCTCATTTTCTGCAGATGCTAAAGTTCTTTGCCACAGGGGGAGGTGAAGCTTCACGGACCTCTGTGGACAATGTGCATTCTTGCGTGGCTTGCATGGACTTCAAGCTCAAGGTCAAATCAACATGGTATAAATCCACGGGCACGGCTCTCAAGCTAGATGATAAGTCTGACTGATCAGTAGGCACGGACCCAGATTATATCGTTAAAACAAAGTTTTACCGGGATTCTCGTAGAGTACAGTACTGTAGGTTTGATGTATTGATTGTATGTATAAGTTTCGCTTCGTTGTCGATATCATATGGCGCCCCTAATGCGTGGTCTTATGCAATAGTTTTTGCAAAGTATCGCCCACAAATATCTATCGTGGCCAACCTTCATTATTGAATCTTGAGGAGTCCGACCGGAAATGTCTAGCCAGAATCTTCGCTCCCTCCAGGATTTCGATGTTACTGTCCATCTACTCAGCCAAAGTGTTTGCGGGTTTTAGCAGGTTACATATGAATATTGTACTATTAGATAGTATCAACTCATGTTGGCAAGCTCGGTGATGATAGAAAGGGGACCAAGCGATTTTCCAAAAATAAGCTAGTATATGCTCCCTTGTGCCAACTTCCAAGACGCACTTCTTATTCCTTAGTCTCGAGAGGATGGGGTGTGGGGATCGGAAATTAAACCCCTTCAATTTGAAAATGACCAGATTGAGGATATTTCCGATGCACAGTATTTCATCTATCAATGGTGGAAATGAAATGCGTGTCATTGATTTTGGGTGGTGATAGAGTATAGGTCGTTGCGCCGAAGATGTATACAATAAGTCACCTGGAAGGTCCTACGTGGTATTATGAGGTAGTCACTACGTGGGACAAGTATGTTGATTGCAACGAGACCTCTTTATCATTATAATGACACAGCCACCGAAGAGCCCATTATTTCAATTCACGATTTTCCCCGAGTGCCCTCCACTCAATTTCAAAAACAACAATCCCCAGAGTCCCAGACGGATGACGAGTGTCGATTCATAAATTGGACATATCTAGATCTCAAGGAAAATTTCTTCCCTCTGTCCTCATATTGAAGATCCTGACGCAACGATCTACCTTCTCGGATTGAAGCCACAAGCATAAAATCAAAGACGGTCGATTGATTCGTGGAGATGTGAGATCTGCACTCGGCATATAGTATAAAGTCAATTGTGATGGGGGTTAGAGCTCGGTAGAGAGCACCCGAGTGCGTGGTTTGAACTTTGACAGGACCCTGAATTTGCTGGAATGATATCGGGAATTTTGTTGTGGTAAATGTTTAGTTATGGATGGTTGGGATGAATGGAAGAGTGTAGGTAGCCATCGATGATTTAAATATAATATTTTCGGGCTGCAGATTACAGTGCATGCACAGTCAGTACAACGGATGTTGACCTTATGTACCGTACATGTGGGATTCTGGATGGGATATGCGTATCGGAACCAAATAGCAGCAAATGAGCTTTACCAATAAAACATATAGGTACGCACGTAAACATTCCACGAACATACCGATATCCTGCAAGAAAAGATTGTAAATGATCGATAGACCACAAGTTGAATTGAGTCATATCCACGCAATGATATTCAACGCAAGTAGAGTGGTAATCTCCCAACATCCCTCGCCATATCCTGAGATTGATGGGGGAAAGTGTAACGCAACGCCTAGTAATACACCTCAACCCATTCTTACACTACTTTGTCTTCCAATTCTACCAGAACCAAGTTTTCTTATGCTTCCTCCTAGACTCTGCAGCCTTTTTATTTGCTTCTCTCTCTTCTTCGTGTTCTTTCCCTTCATTGATGATTTTTAGTGCTTCTTCGCCTTTTGGCACTGTCGTCAAATTCTCATATCCATCTTTGGTTATTAAGAGATCGTCTTCGATACGCACACCTCCGACGGGGTAATATTTCTGTAAGAGCTTTTTGTTGATATATTTTGCGTATTTGGGGGATTTGAGATAGACTTCTTCAAGAGCATAACGAGAGAAATAGCTTGTAAATTGATCGTTAGAAAAGGAACTAAGGGGAGGGTAAGACAGACGTACATTCCAGGCTCGATTGTAACAACCATATCCTTTGCGAGAATAGCTCCACCATCTGAAGTGACACCAGAGTTCGAGAGAATTTGAAAGTAGGCGTCAGTCCAATCAGCAGGCTTTTTGCTGAAACCGTACAAACGATTGGTGATACGACTGCCACCAGGTCCGACATCATGAACTTCTAGACCAACGTAATGTCCCAACTATGATGGTCAGTACCGATTTCACTTAATAAAGAGAAGAAATGGATTCTTACGCCATGAGGAAAAAATGCCACTGAAACACCCGCCATGTAGAGTTCATCAAAAGTTCCACCTTCCACGAGTCCTAGATCCATGAGTCCTTTGAGAGCGACCCGATGAGCATGCATATGGATATCCCGGTAATTAGCACCTGGCCCCAGCATATCGATACACTCATCCTGCATCTTAGCCACGAGGTCATAGATGGCTTGAGCTTCCTCGGTATATTTGCCAGAAATTGGAACCGTTCGAGTAACATCAGAAGCATAGCAATCCCATTCGCATCCTGCATCAAGACATACGAGCTGTCTTCCTTTAAGAGGTTCATTGTTGGCCATATAATGAAGAGTGCTTGCATTTTCACCGGAGCCAGCAATCACGCCATATGCTTGAGTTTTTGCTTGTTTAGCAATACATGTCGCTGTGAAAATGGCTTCAATTTCTGCCTCATTTGACAGATGACGAAGTCCACGGAGAACATCAATATGCGCTTGTGCTGTGATCGCACTAGCCTTCCGTATCATTCTAAGCTCATATGGGCTTTTGATAGCTCTGGCGGTATTCATAGCCTCCTCTAATTTTGAACTATCGAATGGAGACTTGCTGATAATGGAGTGGCATCCATTTTTGCGGGTGATTTGAAGTTCGATGCTCTTTGGTGCCTGGTAATCATGTAGAAGATGAATATTCCCGGGTTCGGTATGCGCATACCAAGTGAGATATGAATCAAGATGAGGTAACTTTTCTACATGGTCAAAGTCGTATTTGGCCATTATCTCTTTGGCCGTGGGACGAGATCCAGTGTAGATGACCGATGAACCAGAGTTTGGTGGTGGAATCCATAGCCATAATTGATCACGATGGATATTGTAGGTGACGGTACAATCCGGGAGATTTACTCCCGTAAGATAGTAGAAATATCGACGTTGTCGGAAAGCAGGAGGCATATCAGAATCTTCATAATTGAAGCTTGGTAGACCAGGAAGATAGATGAGACCCTCGTTGACCCCGAGATGATTTTTGACTTGTCGCGCATGAAGTTTGGCTATTTTGACTTGTAAGCAATTATACTACCATACATACCAGGAAGATTCAAGTAAAAAGCGATTAATTGGCTTGAGTTTAGATAAGCACAAGAAGTAAGTAACTGACAACTGACCTGGATATTTCTCAGTTGGCTTGGGCTTATATTCTATTGATCTAATTAATTGTTAGTATATTGTCTTTAAGAATGGATCTCAAACTTATTTACAAAGCGTCAAATTCATCAACCTCCTTACAAGTCCAGCTTCCTTTTGAAGTAGGTCGAACTTCACTATCTCTGTCCTGGGCGGCAAAGGAACCCATAAGGGTTTGAAAGTCCATCTTGCAGCAACAGCAATCAGATGTAAGTAAGAATTGAAAGAGTTAGGTATTGTAGTTGATGTGAAGTGAAGTGAGGTTGGAAGTAAGGTGAAGTAAGGTATGAAGTGAGGTATAAAGTGAGGTATGAAGTGAGGTGAAGTGAAATGAAATGAAGTGATTGTTTTGAAGGATGGATCTCTCTCTTTCTCTCTCTCTTGTACCCTTATTGTGTTGTAGGACTGATTCAGACACTTATCTCTATCTCGGCTTTAATTCGGCTCACAAGAACTTCTCCAATTTAAAAAACTCGAGTAACTGTTTATTTATTTGTAGAATGAAATCCAGTTCATGTATAATAAATGAAGTTATTCAGATCATAATAAACAATTCAATATGAAATCAACTTTCAACCATATCCAATGGTTCTCACTTATCTGTCCGGGAGTTATGAATCCTTGTACTTGCAGATAATCCTAGACAACCCTTTTCACAATCTCCAACCTCCAACCCCCCCCCCACCAAAAATCCATGACAGAGGAAACAACCTCACTTGTGAGATAGGTGCAAAGCTCTTTTTCCATGCTAAAGCCATTTACAAACGTGTTATACTTCATTCTCCACTATCCAATCCCGTATAAGCAAAATGGTAGGCTCTCAACTAGGAGTAGTTGGCTCTGGAGCACAGTTTCAGAGCCTTGATGATTTTGTGAAAGAACAAGATGAGTTGCAAGCAGAGTAAGTTCTTGATTGGGATACAATGCATTTTCATGATACTATCACTACACTCTTGTGATGGGTGTTGTCTTTGGTGTCACCTCATACATTTGTAGTTTTATTAATCAGATACTTAGGATCAATCGGGAGTGTTTGAATGCACACTCTCAAAGTGGTTCACCAGCCACCAAGAAGACCAGAAATACACCAGATGTCGCTTCTGTACTACTTGAGGATCAGGCATTAAAGGGAATGGGAGACACAAACTGGGTGGGAAGACTACAAGGTTAGTTGCTGGTCATGAGACAGCCTTTATCCTTACCCACCATAGATTCTAACAACATTCAGAATACCATCAAGTCAAAGCTATTTACCCTCCTCCAAAATACACCGAGATCCAAGTTTCCCTCTCGAGATTCAGTTGCTCTGTAACCATCAAAGAAAAACCAGAACCCATCACGAGTACTGTCACCTTTGGGCGCAAGAAAGAAGCTAAGGGATTTGTCTCCAAACTTGCTATTGACTGGCTTGTCTCGCAAAACCTCATGCCTTCCAACGGAGCTGTCAAATTTCCAAAAGTCCCTGTCGCACCCCAGACTCCCCAGCCAAAGAAAATCCGCACCTCAACCTCTCCTTCCACAACCTCTCCAGCCTCAATTACCACCACTCCGCGTGAACGAAGCACCTCACCCACTTCATACCCAGGACTGATCCCAGATTTATGTCACGCACTCGGTTTCAATATACCCACCTACAAGATTGCTCTCATGGTAGAAGGTATTCCAATCTATCATGGCTACGCAGATTTTGGATCCGATCCCCGAATTCTGGGAAAAGTTGGAGAGTTCCGGGATATTTACGGTAAAAAGAAGGCCAAAGAAGTTTGTGCAAAGGAAGTCTGGAGCTTCTTGAAGGACACTGAAAGGCAAAGATTGGAAGGAATTGAGGACTCGGGGATAGAGAAGAAGAGAACGAAGAAGGAGACACCTCAAGAACAGGGGATGAATGGTGATGGTGATGGTGATGTTGGGATTGTAAGTGGGATTTAGGTGTGTTATGGTGAATCTACAACAAATGGTGTTCATGAGCTGTGATGGGATTTTAGGACAACCTTTTTCATTTTTTTAATAAGATGGATTGGCATTATGATTGGGATTATGATTGGGACTATGTTATGGGATATTGGTATTGAGGTGTTTCAGTAAGCGAAAAGATTTGTTTGTTTCTTGAAATGTACTTGAGGTAGATCCCCGGTCTCATTGATAAACATTCACCACCCCCCTCTCAAAATGTTAGATACCACACCTTTGGTTTTGTGGTATTTGGCTCTATTGTCATATCTTTCATAACCTCCATTATCTTTGACATAAAGTGATAACTAGCTGTCTACTTATCCAAAAGTCCAGCTGCACCTACTACCACTGGTCCACTGCTTCTTCTGCTTTCCTTGCCCTTCCCCTTCACTCCTTCAAACAACAGACAACCAACATCCTTTGAGAACTCTGTCTCTTTTCATAATTGATATCTCAATACAAAGATATGGCGGTCGAGGACTACATGTGAGAAGAGGACAGGCCATATGAAGAAATCTTTTATTTCATATGAGATGTTTACATAATCTCAAGTATATCCCTAATATATTTTTGATATCTAGATACATATAAATACATGTATCATATCCATATATTTATCCATCTATCCTTTTCATCAATCATATTTCATTCAACATCCATCCATCAGTATACTGACAATATATTCTCAACCCCTCCCTCTTCCACACCCCTCTTCAAACCCCCTCCCCCTTCTCTGCCAGGTATTAGTACTCATACATGAATCAAACACCCTCCCTCAACAAATAAATAAATAAATCCTCAATCTCTTGGCATCCTCTATTCTACATGCTCCATATCATCGAGTACTCGAGTAAATCATTCTCTCCATCAACAAAATCAACACGATCAACACTCTGAGTACATATCTAGTAGCGTTAGCGTCTGCATCAATCCAAGCCCTTCTCATGAGTGATTATACACGATCCTACATCCTACTGTAGGCTTCTCAAAATCTTTCCAATCCCTTGACTTTCATTTATTTACCTTTCAATAACCTTGGAATGCAATTGGAAGATATTGTCCAGCGCGCGGAAGAGAGAATCTGTTCACAAATATCGCATGCAATTTCGTTCATGCGTGGGTTTACTCTAGGTTGTCATCATTCTCTAAAGGGACTCGCCTCGAGGTATGCACGCAATGGCAGAGGAATAGACTACAGACCGGTGACAACTACGAACGAGGGGACACATTGATTAAAAGGACGGGGTTGCAATACATAATCACGTAATAAAAGTAAGGTTATATGGTCAGTAAATATCTCTCTTGGGGTATATGATTTTATCCGTAGCCTTCCACGAAGCGGCCTTAAACGTTTGATACAAATGGGCTTTTCTGCCTTTGATCTGTTTGCCTCGTCATATTTCCCCTATTATTCCAGGTCTCAATCGAGTGAGTGCCCTGTTCCTCTCCATCTCTTCCATCACACCGCTTCATCCGTGACCAAAGGGACAATTCATTAAACTCTTACAGCGAGGCGGTGACGATGACCTGCCTATGTATCCAACGCCACGAACTCATGCAAACGCCTTTCCATCTTCATCCATCATGAGAAAACCGGCGTATTGCTTATAGATTTGAGAAATGAAAGGGAAAAAAAAACCGCCAAGTGATAATCCAAAATTTTGCATACAAATAAATGTGTGCTTATAATGCTTGAGAAATGTGGTATAAATAAAGCATCGGGTCAAAGACATTATGGTGATGTTCTTTAGTAGAATAGATTCTATGCGCTTGTAAAATGCTCAAAGAAAATCGTCGATAGATCGAGTGATAGTCGCTTCTCCCGTTATAGGTGGGCTTCTAGGATCTTGTGCGGGTGGGAGGTTTGGGTGAATGGCGACGGTCGGAGGAAAGAATGCTGTCCGCTGAAAATCGAACCCACGTGGAGAGAAAAGGCTGGGTGTTTCATTGGAAGATTCTTGTGGAATACCACGCGAGAAAGCGTGTTCGAGAGGATTGTGAGTCATCTTGGTTATTCGTGGCGACATTATGTCAGGTTGCGTGTCATCATCCTGTAGCCGAGGGGACATCATATCGAGCTGCCATTTATCTTGTTGTGATGGTAGACGCTCGATTTTGGAACTATCTTCAAACTTTGTGAAAGGTTCAAATCGTGGAATATCGCCAAAACCAAAGTTAAAACGGCTTAGACGATCAATTGCAGAATTGCAGTCAGGAGTTGTCTCTTCTTCGACTTCAGAGTTCTTGACAGGGGCTGTTTCCATAAGAACAGGCTCACGGATAGCTGGATCTCTAGGTTGTGAAACAGGAGACGAGTCTACTCTGGTACGACCAGGAGACGATGCGGTATCGAGACCATTGGCAGATTGAGATTGCCTGTGCCTATTCAGGCTTTTATTCCTCATAACAATGTCCTTGTTCTCCGCTGTCTGTTTCTCTATCTTCTTTCTTTCGATAACCTTTTTGAAGTCATTTAACGAGAAGAGAAGAGACATATTAGGATTGACCCAACGGGACTTCGATTGTGCCAAATTGTACGCTTCGTTTGCTGATAGATCCTGGTTGATATACATTCCATATGCAATTATTAAGGTTGCTGATCGGCTAGCACCTTGTTGACAATGCACAAGAACCTTCTTTCCCTCCTTAGATCTCGATTCTATGGTTTGGCATAAATCCCACAATTCATCTTGCACATCTGTATTATGGTCCCAAGGAAGATGGATGTACTCGGGAATCTTCATTTCTGAGGTGCTAGGTCGTGGTGTGGATGGGGAGGACTCCGCAGATCTCGATTCGGAACCAGCCGGTTGAGTCTCGTAAGCAGTTTGAAAAGAGGAAATGGTTCCAGCTGTACCGGGAATTTCGGCGTACGGATCCACAGGGTTATTTCTGGATTCGACAGCTGCAGAATTAAGTCTTTTTGGCATCTCCTCTTTCTCCCTCTTCATCTCCTCGAGCTTTGCCTCAAACGGATTTTTGACTTCCCTCGCGACATTAATCACAACATCAAACGCCGCAGCTTCCTCCATATTAGGCTCTGAATACAGATGTATGCCTGGTTCGTGCATAAGAATCGGACCGTCAGGATATGATGGAGACTTGCAATCCTCCCCAGTAGGTGGTCTGTCAAACGAATCACCGCCGATACACATCCCTGGAGCTCGGGTTGCCATCTGAACTCCTGTTGGCGAGGGTGCCTCATCTTCATTGATAGTGAATGTATCCCTCGGAGGGCCAGATTCCTTCAATCTCAATCCCCCAAAGCCTCTAGACGGATCACCGAAAGTCATTCCCCCACCAGGACCAAAGCCTGGCGTTGTCATTGACAGCATTTGCGGCGACGAGACAGAATGTTTCAGACTTCTCCGTTGCAGCATTGAAGACATGCCTTGTTGTGCCAAAGGTTCTAAAGTCATGTTGGCTGTTCCCGTATTTAAACTTAATATGCTTGGCTTTTTTCTGGCCTTTAATGGCGGTGGCTTAATGAAAGAAGGGGAAGGTGGTTCTGACGTGAATTCATCAATGCTTGGTCGGAGGTTGAGAGCCAGACTTTTGGGATTCTTTTTTCTTGGCGAAGGTGAAGTCATGGGTCGTTCAACGGTTATTGGCGGCGGCCTTGTATCTATTTCGCCCATCTTTAAGTTTTGGAAAGAATCTAGCCCAAAAGAAGATCCAGTGAATGAAGATAATGGGACAAGTGTAGTTGGTGATTCAGGTGACGAGCTTGGTGATGGGTCTGATAGTGAAGATGAATCTACTGTAGATACTGTCGTTGTGGGTGAAGAGTCTGTCGAATCTGATGCTTGCGTTGAAGTGCTTTCGCGATGCTGATGGGAATGTATTTGAAGCAAGTTGCTGTCGATCTTGACTTCTGAATTCTTATGTGCTTGTTGATTGTTATACGGAATAGCCGGTAGTTTGGTGCGAGTGCCGCCTAACGCTGATCCATCCATTATGTTCGAATCCATACCATATACTGACATGAACGAAGGTATATGATTCTCGTACATTCGGGGACCAGCTGCTGATGGCATTTTTCGCCGCCGAGAAAGATCGCGACGCTTGACTACTGGAGCCTGCGCCAATGATTCGCGTGCGCGCTGGGTTGATTGTATTCCCCAGTATGTATTAGATATCCCACTTAAGTCTGGTGAAGGTGGTGAAGAAAGCGTAATCGCAGTGAAGGACCTTTTCGAAGTTGCATCATTAGCAATTGAGATGCTTGTTGGCCCAGTCGTCATCGTTGGTTAAAGAGTACAAGAATAATTACAAACGAGTTTCTTTTGTTGTTCGTTTGATAATACTAAGACCAATGAAGGCAACAATAAGAAAAGAAAGCAAGCTTAAAGGATAAACAAAAATTACGAAATTCACTCACTAGAAGTTATGAAGCGTTTGAAACGATTTCCCAACCGATTGATAAAACTTCTAGTAAGAGTCGATAAAAATAGCCAAGGTAATTGCACCTTAGCCTTAGGTAGTCTTGCGATCGAGGATGAAATGGCGCAAGAAGTGACCTTTACAGGAGGACGATTGGAATGTATGTATACAGCGACCAAGTAAGTTGTAAGAGATGTTTGAGAACAAAGCAAGAATTACCTCGAGGGGCAACCTCAATCTTGCCTTACTGGATAGTCCACGCGAGATGCCGCAGTTATTATTGTCGAAGTAGGCTCGTTTTGTGCCTGGGCCAAATTACAAGGACCGATGAAAGGATATAACAGTAGTTGTTGGAAAACTAAAACTTCCAAATTTCTAAATTGTACCTTTTGGGAAAACAAGATTGAAGGATTTAGAGAGTCAAGAGTTTCGAGAAACGAAGACGTTCGTCTCGTACAGTATTGGAACTTGGTGGTGGGCAGGGTTCTGAATTGTTTAAACTAGTCAGCGCATCGTTCTCAGCGAATTGGGTGAAATTGCAGGGGATTTAAAAATAGACAGGGCGGGTAAAAAGCACCAATAAAATAATGTAAAAGATCCCTTACTATGAAATTGAATTGCCTTTTTTAATTGCCTGCAACTATTAGAGAGAAGGCACTTCCAAGGGTTGAAGGGTTTCTTCTCAAGGGCGGGTGTACCCAAGCCTTCCGTCTCTCGTCTGCAAGAAAGCCGTAAAAGGAGAGATTCGAGATTGATTTGATAGGGTGTACGGGTGTATGAGTTGTGAGACTGTGATTGCAGGTTGTCTTTGTTGATCGAATAAAGTAGAGTATTCCAGTACTTGTAGTGAAATTCCCTTGCGCGCGAAATTCCACACAAAGATATGGAGAGGGATAAGAGACGAGTTATCTGGTCATGAAGAGATGAAGGAACAGATTGTATATATTGATTCCCATGGGGTACCTTGTCCGGGGTACCTGTATTGTAATTATACTGAAGGAATCCGGTGGAAAGTTAAATTGTTGTTTTTAGGGTCGATAATTTTTTTTCTTCTCTTTGCCCTTGGGATGCTTTGTTTAGGTACTAGGTAGTTCCTCGATCTTTCAAAAACAATACCGGATAGATTCTTATATCTAGGATCTAGCACAAGTTATTATTTCAATTGTGATTAATTGTGTTGTATTTTCGGGTAAGTCGAGAACAAAGGAATGGCCGCGGCTTTCGGTCGTATAGAGAATTCGAGTATTGAGAAACGAAATGTGTGAATTTCAAGAAGCGGAGAAAATGATGTCAGATAATGAAACTCATGATGCTAATATAATGGAAGTATGGAAGCGAATACTCAATCTTCGCAGAAAAGGCACCGTGTTGTAGTAGATGAGAAGATATATAGGTAGTAGTGAGATATAAAGTATTGAATGGGGTTTATGGGTTATGGGTTATGGGTTACGGTAGGTTTTGTGAGAAGAAAAGGACTGAAAACTAGAAGAATTTGGGAGAGGAGAGGAGAGGAGAGGCTCCGAAAAAGAAGCTCAAACCTAGAACCCGCTCGCTCTATAGCTAATTGTCTAAGCTAAGCAAGATCAAGATGGGTCGAAGTGGGAAAATCAGCTATTTTATGCCTCAGGCTATCATAATACTCCATACGCTTTTCCGAAATAGATTTACTGCGTTTTGTCTCTCCATTTTAATTGGTCATAAACATCCATGAAAATATATGAAACAAGCTACCTAGGTAGGTATGAGAAATGTCACATTCACATTCAAGAATTGTCACACCAATAGAAATGATGGGAGAAGAGCGAGAAAAATCAACCTAGTAAAGTTGTTAGAAAAGAGGCTCAGTAGTGTGGCTGGATAATTTTACAAAATTTTACTATCCTTTAATCCGTATGAGTACGTACAATAATACCGATTGTACCGGTATTACACCCCAAGAAGAGAGAAAAGACCGAAGAAAGGAAGAGAAAAAAAGGTTAAGGCTCCTCTTCTCGCTCTTAATTACTCTTTCTGGATACTATCCAATTCGTCGCCTTGCTCAATATCTACTGTATACCGAATTTATCTTATGATAAAGCTTGATCCCGGACCTTCATTGCATTTATTCAGTACGAAAGAAACCCCAATAGTACCCAATAGTACCCACAAAATTGATAGTTAAGGGCAGCTCAGAAAATAGGATATGAGAGAGGTTGTGAGCAAGAGCATCGACAAAATACAGTATTAGGCTAGTAGTTCTTGAGCTGCTCGAGTTATTTCTGCATTTATGATATACTCCAGCTACCCGTCCGAGCGAGCGAGCTTGAATATACATGTAATATATAATTTCAAAATTATATTCGTGCCTCGAGTTCATCTCAACCCTTTCTCAACTATCGAAGCTTTGTTCAGATAGAGGTCTTCTCAAGGGACTAATTTGGATTTTAATTATAGATATGGGAAAGAGAGAACATTTGCCATAAATGCTACTATTCAGGTTGGCAGGTGAATGGGGCATGTTTTATGCGTAACATGCAAACGTATTCAATATTCCAAACATGATTTCAATATTGTTCCGGAACCGAAGTTGAGACGAATATTTACAAAGTACACTTTCATTTGGCCAGACCAAATTAAGTACTGTACCTACCTAGTATTCATTTTGCCCTCATGGTTCTGGGACATCAAATGGGTCCTTGCCCCTGAATATACATATGTGGTACATTGCTCTATTACGACCCACAACCGCTGCAATCATTCTCTTTTGAGAAAACCTTTCAAGAGGATGGATTTCTAGATTATTAATGTAGTCATATCATATCTCTTAATATCTCGAGTAGTTCTTCTAAAAGCTATTTTGAAAGTGGACTCCAGGATTAAATGATCTCCAGGATTAAATGATACAAAGTATTTCTCCGCTTGACAGTATGGGTAGTGATCTTGGCCCGAGCTAGGCCCTGAGCTGAGGGGTTCACCCGCCGCTCCATGTGAGTCGTGATGTGTTGCGCTTTCCCCTCACAATGTCTTACAAAGACATGCAGATTGAAGAACTTGACCATGATTTTTACAATTGTCTGATCTAAATTTGGACAATCAAACGATAAGTCATTCTAATGTGTTTGCGTTACTCAAGTATAAGTATAAATACTTGTAGTCCCAATATCAATATTCTAGGAAATGTCAAGCTTCTTCATTCCAGATACTTGTATTGAAAAGTTCCCCTCACCTCACCATGTCAAATACAAATCATCAATATGCACGTCCCTCGCTTTGGAACACAATCTACTACGGAGTAGATGAATATGCAGTGAGAGGTCATGGTGGATAAAACCATATATTATCTGTATGAAGAGAGGGTCAACCAAGAGGAGGGGGGGGGTAGGTTGCAAGAACTTATTAAGAGCATGGGAGAATATATCGGATATATCTAATATGTTGAATATACAAGAAAGAACATTTAAATAGTATAAAATCTCCATTAATATGATTTCGGATAAGAATAACATTAACGAGATTGTTATTTTACGCAAAAGCCGCTACAAATTTGGGAAGGTTTCGGAAGCCCTAACGCAAGTACTATACATGCTGAAATAGGAAATTACGGCTAATTGCATTTTGACAGGGCTATTCATGCGATGGATATATGATATACTTGACTGCAAACCCCTTCTATTTTGTGAGTTATTATATTGAAGACGAAGACGAAGATAACCAAATCATAGATAAAATAAATATACTCTCAAGTATAATATATTTGAGTTAGCAATACTCAAGTACATAGATACAAAGATAATATGATAATGAATCCCTCCCTCTTATCATTCTCTTCATTTATCCAATACTTATTATAGGCACGGCCATTTTTTATTATTAATCTTTGACTTGCCTGCTGCAATAACTCTGCACACTTCACTTCATCCATGATCAGTTCTCCTTGACGACCGAACGAACCTGGCACTTCCTCTATCACAACTCTTCTCTTACTTTTGTTTTTTCTCTTCATATTTATTCACACCCAGTCTTTTATTCCTTTTTTCTTGTACAATCTTCGCTTTGACTTGATATGTTAAACTATTTTTATTCAAGATGTCACAGATCCCTCAATCCCCAAATACAAAATCAAAACCAAGACCTTTATCACTTCATTCCCATAGAGTTGATCATAATTCCTCAAAATTACCCAGAATACGTGATGCGCTCGAGATAGTTACACAAATCCCAACTACGACTACGAGTAGAGCATATCATCATCGTTCGACACCATCACAATCAGCTGACTCAAGCATGGCTACTGCGAATACTTTCAATACTAATACTGATGCTGATGCTGAGCATCAAAATGATTATCTAAAACTTAAATCTTCTAGTTTTGATTTAAAATTCACCGGGAATCATTCCACCGTTGCGACCCCTTTTAGTCCGACGAGCCAAATCAAGAAAGAGCCATTCCGCACAAGGATATTAAGTTCATTCACTGGAAGTCCGGTTAGATCACCTAAACCATCATCATCGCGGCGAACATTATCTTATCCCACGCCTACACCCAACAGACCCTCAGCCACCACCACCACCACAACCACAACCACGACCATTCCCACCAAACTTCAACACGAAACAACAACATCATCAAGACTTTTCGCTTCCGAAAAAAAACCAAGGAACGTGCCTACTATCAATGGCAAGTATGGAATAACGGCTGAAGTCGCAAAAGAAACAACTTCGACAATGTTGTCCCCAGGGTCATCATACGTAGCACAAACCACGAATTGGATCGCGGATCAATCTCATTTGGATCAAACTTCCTCTCCTTCAACAACCTATGCACCACAATCATCTTTGGAGAATACGCCATCACGACCTGTAGTTTTACCAGCGAAGGGCTTCAAGAATAATATAAAAATGGAACCCGAGTTGAGAGAGAGGGAATCTACATTGAGGAGTTTAGAGGGGCGGAATGCTCGGAGAGATTTACCCGATGAACGAGTTTCCGATGAAGCGGACTTATTCCTACAAGTTGCGCAAGAGGAAGATGATATGAATCGCCAAAAGAATTATCCAGCCTTGAGTAGATTAGATTCTAGAAAGGTAATGCACTCTTATTCTCTTTTCCTGTCATTGTAATCTTATCTTGGAATTGCATCAGGACAATCATCATGGGTGGCTCAATATATCTAATTCATCTCAATAGTCCCGCATCAGTATGCGCCAATCTCTCCCTGCTCCCAGCTTCCGTTCTTCGTATCTTCGTCGTGAACCCGATCAAGAAACGAAGCCAACACCTCGTTACGCAGAAGAAGCGGAAAGTCTAGCACAAGTATTGGAAGATGATCCTTCTGCAAGGGAAAGACCTTTTAGCTCATTTTCCATGGCTCCGGGCGAGCAAAGAAAGCGATCCTATGCAACCGCACTGTCGAATCCTACAACTCCACGAACGAATAACCGAGAAGGCGATTCCGAGCCAACATCACCGTATACTGGACGACGACCATCTGTGCAGGACCGAACAATCACTGCCTATCGACATTCGAATTTATCCAATTCTTATTCCGCCCCTCGAACTACTGCTTATCATTCTTCTCCACTTGTGGCGCAACCGATGGAGATCAGCGAACAACATGAAACACAGCGTGCAACAGAGGGAACTGCGTCGACCGTGTCCACAACTGCACCTTCAACTGTCTGGGACGAACTCGAAGATTTGAAATCGCGCATACATAGATTGGAGTTGACGGGAAAATTGCCTACAACATCTGGTGCAGCTGTCTCGCGAGCCACCCAGGAGCGTCCTCCTACTGCTACCACAACCGAAACTACCATGTCAACATCACCAAAACAACGTGGACGTGGTAATAGCATATCACCGACCGAAGCTCCATCCGTGGATATGTCTAAAGCCGAAAATCATCCTCTCTTACGATCTGTTTTGATAAATTCGAAGCCTTCATTGGACCCTGAAATATACAAGTCTCTGGAGGCTACAGCGAATGACGCATTGGCAATCTCTGCAATGATGGGAGCTTCTGGTCAACCTGGGCCGATATCAAGCTCCCAATCATCCGTCGGTGGAGCACATTCTAATGTTTCTGATCGTCAAGTCCGTCGGAAAGCAGATAGTTTGTGTCGCAATTTGACGGAACTTTGTCTTTCGTTATTCGAAAGAAGACTAAACGATCCCGATACCACTCTTACACAGATCCGACAGAGTAGCCATGGTCAAGATACTGATATCCGACAGAGTATAGAACCAGTTAGCCCAAGGCAGCCACCTTCAAGTGATTTAATGAAGTTAAAAGCAAGCCCGAGGTCATTTAGCCGTCTCGAGGCCCGAAGAAGCAGCCTTCTCGCACCAGCTGCGTTGCCAACTTTGAGATATTTACCGCCTGAGAGTACAACACCTATGCAAAGTTTAGCTGCTGGACGTCGCACATCTTTATTACTTCGTAGTCGACGTGCTGAAGCCGAAGATCCCCAAGAATCAATAGAGGCTCGATTTCGAGCACCCTCAAGAGCTAAGACAGACCTTGGGCGCAGGGGAGACCTTACGCGAGACGAAATGTCACGTCCTCCGTTGCCCGAAGACGATATGAGATCCGCGACAGCATCATCATCGTTAGCACTTAGACGGTCTTATACGACAGCCCTCAGTCCCAACAGGGGCCCACAATCTTCTCCTCTTATACAAACAACCACTGGCAGAAGATATTATGAACGAACACCGGAGAGAGAGATTCTTGTGAACTCAAGCCTAGGTGGCGGCGGTGCTCGTAAATATCTAGAGCGCACTCCCGAGAGGGATACCACAAGCCTTTCTGGAAGATTGGCCGAAGAACGTGGGCAGAGAAAGGTCTCTGCCCCTTTAACTTTTGCCGCCAGAAACAGAGCCGGTAGCCTCCTGAGGAATAAGGAGCCATTAGGTCCTTCGCAAACTGGTGCTTACCAGTAAAACTCAATCATGACTCCACTTGTACAAAGAAAGATATGGAGTTCTTCACAGGTTTCTTTTCGGCGCTTTTGCGCATAGGATTATGAAGGGGAAATTTCTTTATATCATTTTTGATTTCATCACCATAGGGAAAGAGGAACATTTTCAAGATACCCTGGGTACATACGATGGCACGAATAGAAGGTGTTGAGGGTTACGCATCAGGGAAAGGGAGTAGAGGATGCTCTTCGGGTACACATTACTACTTATCCTCGGCGTGAGATTTAGCCTAGGCTGGGGGGTTTTTTTGGTTGGTTGCTTACTTGCTGGTACGATTAATCACTTGAATCGTTGCTGGATATGGCTATTCAATTGGAATTCCGCTTTAGCATATAAGGAGATGGATCCAGGTGGACTGGGAGGAGCCTGAATTGAGCGCGACATTGGAGAGGTGCTAGGTTTTTACTCACGTATGTATTATATTATTATCACCAGCGATAGATTCATGTAGAAAGGATATTTGTGAGATATTGCTAGTGTTATCCCCATTCTCTGCTGTTACTCGGTAAAGAAGTATAAATCGAATGTGAATATTTAATTGCACTCCAAATCTATAAATAATGCTATGCTGTTAGAACCAAGCCTTGCCTGACAAACATATTCTCTCCAAAAATGTTCAGTCGCCTTTCAAGCTTTCAACTATACATGCTAAATCATCTCATCTCACCTCGCCGATAACACTCTTTTCTTTTCTTTCCTACATATTCACTGTACGAAAGTTCCTTCCCAAGTTTTCAATAAGCGAGACAATTTGACCCCACTACGATTGCATACAAGCTCGATACTTATTAATGTACAATTCTCTAGCCCGCAACAGAACACTTAGAGCTAATATAACAAGATTGAGATTTTACGGGGATTCTGCACGGTCACAGATTCACAGAAACACATTGAACTTACGTTCTGATCTCAAAACTCATACGCAACCTTTTCAGATACACAGCTTAGCCTCACTCTCGTACTCGCAGCGCAGATATATAAGTATGGCGGGTATCAGTGCGACGGATATGAGCTCTTTTGCAGAAGAGGTCGATGGAGTGGATTTGGTGAAGAAGAATGTGAGGGGAGGAAAGGGAGGGAGAGGGGGGAAAGGTGGTGCGGGTGGGGGACAGAATAGAGAAATGGTTATCAGTAAGGCGTTGTCTAAGTTGTTGAGACATGCGGCAGAGGATGAGGGGTTGAAGTTAGATGGGGAGGGTTATGCTAGGTTGGATTTGGTGGTGAGTTGTTTTCTCTCTTGTTTTGTTTTTAGAGAAGGGATGGAGGTGATTGATGGGTGGCCATGTGTGGGAGAGAGGATATGGAAATGGAGGATAATCACGTGGTTATATATCTTCAATACATCATTGGCACAATGGGTTATGGGAATGAAGAATCGAGCTTACAACTCTCACAGATGCAATGGCCGCGCCTCAAATCTCTCAAGCCAACTTTCGCCGATATCCACGCCGCGGTCTCCGATAATGCCAAACAGCGTTTCTCTATGAAACCCAATCCCGCACTCCCAACGCCTCCTTCTCCATCCTCAGAAAATCCATCAGATTGGGTTATTCGTGCTAACCAGGGTCACTCCATCGCTGTTGATTCGGCTGCTTTGTTGGTTCCCGTTACGCTGGAAGCGGGAAATGTACCAGAAACATGCGTGCATGGGACATATTTTGCATTTTATGAGGAGATTGTAAAAAGTGGAGGATTGAAGAAGATGGGGAGGAATCATGTGCATTTTGGGACGGGGGTCCCTGAAGAAGGCGGGGTGATTAGCGGGATGAGAGGAGATGCGGAGGTGTTGGTTTATGTGGATGTTAAAAGGTGTTTGGAAGAGGAACCGGGGATGAAATGGTGGATGAGTGATAATGGGGTTGTGTTGACGGAGGGAGATGGAGAGGGAGTTGTAGGAACAAGTTTTTGGAAAAGGGTTGAGGGGAGGAGAGAGGGGGGTGTGCTTTGGGAAGAAGGGGTCAAAATTGCGGAGT